TTTTTTTTTTTTTTTTTTTTAAACGTTTGGTTCCATCAATCTCACTCAAGTCAACATTTGCAAGAAATCAAAAGAAAACATCCACAGTTTCTTCACATTCACCGAGACTTGATTTTCACATTCACGAAATCAACAATTTCGGACCAAAAAAAAAAAAAAAAGAGAAACGGTGAGGAGAGATTCTGCAGATGTTTTCTCTTCTCGAGAGCAACAACAGCGGTGAAAAGTATTATAATATCGCTTTTTTTTTTTTTGTTTTTTTTCTACTACAAAATATCTTCCGTATGTTATGCGATGGATACAAAGTGTTGTAAAGCACAGTTTTAACAAAAAAAAAGTTTCTTACAGAACTCTGTAAATTTTTCAGATATGAGAGAGATATTCCTGAAAACAGTTAGAAATTCTGCCGTTATGATACCTTTCACGTTCGTTCGGCGCTGTCGTTATCAGCGATGGGATATTTACCACGTACGCGCGAGTCTGCGATTGAAACAATCTCGGCGTGAAATTAGAAGTTCATCAGGTTTGCTTTTCACGATTCTGTTACTATAGACGAACTATTATGCTTGTTTATTTTCTTTCTTTTTTTTTTTTCCATTGATAAGATTACTCGTTAAAAGATCATCAATCCCACAGTGATCAGTGATGTGCAGTCTTGCGGCCTATATAGTACAAACTTTTTACCGTACAAAGCTTACAAATTACAGGTTTAGATTGACGTTATTATTATTATTACGTTATCAGCTAGTTTTACGAAACCGTTTTTTTGTGTTTTTTGTTTTTTAATATGTCTGTCGCATCGTGCAATAATAATTTGTCACCTTGAATTTAAGCAAACTAAAGGCCTACTAAGACCTTTGGTTTATTAAAATTCGATTTTGCAATTATTGTTGCTTAGTTCACGGTCTCGCATTGAACAGACTCGAAAACAGACGTTAAAAGCAGATGATGAAAAGTAAAAGGTATTAATATTTTTTTTTTTTTTGCTAGACAACAGATCACAAGAAATCTCACAACAGCTGGGGGTTACGTGTGTTAACTACTACAAGAGATGTCGCACGTAAAAATTTCAGTTTTCAGGTGTTTCTTTTTGTTTTTTTCCCTGCGCACAAGTACAAAACAGTTTAAAAGTATATGTGTGTACCTTGTACACATTGTAATATTATCAATGTGCACAGGGATTGTTCGACCATTTGAAATGTCTTACGATACTCTTGTAAAAATGTTTCAGAGAAATAAATTCTCGTCGGTTCAGAAAAAAAAAACAAATCTCAGAGAACTAAGTTTGAATGTAAAATCGACTTTTTTTTTCTTTTAGAGCAAAAAAGACATCTCACATGATCATGAAATCAGACAAAACACTCTTCTACATCTCAGTGTAACTGACAATGCCTTGTACAAAAAAAAAAAAAAGAACAACGTTTATCATTCGACGTTTTGCCCACCGATCAGCCTCCTTAGCTTAAATTAACACAGAACAATTGCACAGAATAGAGTATTTTCCAAACCGTACCGCACTTTTATTCTATATATCTCCGATTCCCTCGCTCGGCGTATTAATTGGCTTCTTATCACTGAATCATCATGCTAGAACAGTCGACCATCACAGTGATATATCTCTTCAAAATGCTTGCAAACACTTCAGCACCCTAAAATTTGTTTGAACCAGTACAATGACCTGCGTGCGACAATTCTGTCTAAATTGAGCAGAAAGCCGATATCGAGTTTGGTTTTGGTTGATCGGTATTTTTTCAACACCTTCCTCCACGCGAGCAGAGAGTATTGGTCCTTTTGCGAAGGAAAAGGATTAACCTTTTGCTCGCTTTTTTTTTTGCTCTTTCTTAAAAACCTACTCTTATATTATATTTATATATATATATGTATATATATATTACAATAATATTACATACATAATACTATTCATGTATAATAAAATAGCTGTGTTCAACCGGCCGCCACCTGCAGGACGGTCTTTCGTGAGTTAAAAAAAAAAAAAAAAAGGAGAACCACACAGTATCCATCGAGAAATTCGTACGGAGTTCAATGTAAGTCAATCTTGATAAAGATGCACAGCACGTTCCACGAGCAAGAAATTCTCCAGAAGATCTCTCGAATGATTCTCCAAGATGTCAAGATGTGCCAAGGTTTGCGCCAGAACAAGTCTCTCTCACTGTACACTAATAAAATTTTGCCCTCAGCACGATCCAGGGTCAGGAAAAATTCACTCGGAGACAGAATTCCCATGTAGACACACACACACACATCGAGCTCTTTAGCAAAAAAAACACTATACACATTCTCCTTTATCTAGTTTGGTCTGCGAGTAAATAATAAATCCAGGCCAAAACGGTTTTGATTAAGTATTAGAGGACACTGCAACAGCAGTAGGTCTTCTTCTCTTTCTCCGGGCTGAAGTTCATCTCGCGCACGATCTCGGCGAACATCTCGTTGACGTTGGTGCGGTTCTTTGCGCTCGCCTCGACGAACGGACAGCCCCAGAGCTGTGCGAGCTGATGGCCCTCCTCGGTGCCGACCTCCCGCTGATGCTCCAGGTCGAGCTTATTCGCCACCAACAACACGGGCACGCGTTCCGTGCCTTTGACGCGCGTGATCAACTCCTTCATCGCCTTGATGTCCTGGAAGGTCTGATGATTCGTCAGACTGTAAACCACGACAAAGCCTTGACCGTTCTTGATGTAGAGATCGCGCATCGACGCGAACTGCTCGGTGCCGGCTGTGTCGAGGATCTCGAGCACGCACGGCGAATTGTCCACCTCGATCTCCTTCCGGTAAAAGTCCTCGATCGTCGGGTCATACTTCTCCATGAAGCAGCCGGATACGAATTGCACGGTGAGCGCGCTCTTGCCCACCCCGCCCGAGCCGAGGACCACCACCTTGAACTCGCGCATCACGTCGGCTTCTCCGCGACTCCTTCTACGACGTCGCCACTTCCTCCTCCTAGACGTATCCAGGACCGCACCGGGGTGTGGAGTTCCGTTTCACCCCCCGAGATCGGACGGAGAGAGTGACAGAGACAAAAGACCGAGATGAAGGAGACAGAAAGTGAGAGAGAAGGAGAGCGAGAGTATGCGTGTGTGTGTGCGCGTGTGTGTGTAAGTGTGTGAAATAAGAGTAAGTGAGAAAGAGAGACACACACCACAGAGTTACAGAAAGAGACAGATTATATCACTCTTTCTACTTTGCGCGTATGTATGTATGTATGAACACTTCACTTGTCTAGCGCTGGGCTAAGGAAACAAGGCTCCTTTTCGTCCTCGTGCACGTCCTCTTCGTGTGATCTCACGACGACAATCCGCGCCCGTCCTCCTCCCGGTCGCGAACAAAGGCATCGACACGACACACGTCTCGATCGGGGGCTTAACGAATGGGACGGACGGATCACGCGAATCGAGAATCGACTTGCGCCGCCTCGCTGCAAGGCTGCCTCGATATTACGGCGACGCGACTACGCCAGGACATGACGACACGGACTCGCCGCACGCTCTGTACGCAGGCAATACACACCAACGACACACGGGGCCTTCTCTCCTTCTCTCTCTCTCTGTGCCTGCCACAGTCGCCTCCTCTTCCTGCCTTCTCCTACCCCTCTCATTCCCTCGCACGTTCGGGATCTGACGTGCGCGGCACCGCCATCTTATCGCCTGCCGCCACCGTCGCTCGGGTTTTTCTTCGAATCGAATGTCACGTCGCGCGTGGATCTTCGATCGCGCGCCTATCCTAGACGTCACAAACGCCTTCGCATTCCTTCGCTCCCTCACGTCTTTGTCCCACACGTTCGAACGCGGTATAGTCTTTTCTATATTCTTTTTTGTTTTCGATAAAAAAAAAAAAAACAAAGAACGTACAATGTCTCTTTGGTTTGCTGAAAAATTATTTTCGTGCCTTATACGCGCGCGATTCACTTGCGCGTATGTACGCTGCTATTGCATCTCGACGAAGCGGCGAGCTTCAAGCGCGTTCTCAACAGACGAGATGATTGGAGCTTGAGCGGAGCTGTGTTGGCTTGGTCACCGAAATAAGGTCTGTTGTTTCTCGTCAACGTGAAGAAAGGTATATAATTTATCAATAACATGTGACACATCATGATTATTTCCTTCTTCTCGATATCGCGCGCGCGCGCGCAAAAAAAAAAAAAAAAACAAAGCTCGTCTCTTCCATTTTCTTTCTCTCTTCCCATTCGATGACACACGCACAATTCGGGTGCAGTAAGTGTAACCGCGCAACTGGAAGCGAACAGATCTATATATATTTGTTTGATCTTGTGTTGAAACACGGGGGAGAGGGTGCAAAAAAAAGCCGAGTGCTGCGCGAACAGAACGAGAGGAGGATTTGTCGATCTTAGTTACGGCGCTCCGCGCTTGCGGCGACTTTTTGTCCTTTTTATCTCTCTTTTTTTTTTTAGGGGAGGCCAATTTTTCGCTGCGCGTGAGAAAAAACGCGCGTAACGATAGGAGAAAACGAAAGAGAGAGAGAGAGAGAGAGAACAAAATCCGGGAAGAAATTTCCGAGAGAGGCGCGGAAAACGATCGGCCACACCGGATACGGGGTGTCGCACACTCTCTCTTATCTCCGCCAGACGCGGGCGTTATCCTCAACCTTGCTAACAACTCGCAAGGAGCAGCCGAGTGAGTTGTACATCTCGTTGTGTGTTGTGTTATAGAAGTAATGTAACGATACTACTGGGTGTATATATATATATATATATGTGTATACGTACGTACATACGTATGTGTGTTGTATGTGTGTACGTAGCGTCATACACATTCTCGGGTGCGCTTACACGCGTGTTTCTTTCTCTCGCACTCCTTCCCTCCGTTGCACACGCACGCATTAGCGATGCATAAAATAATACACCGACAGTTTGAAATATTCCGACGACGAGTCCATTTTTTGTGTGTACACACAATGCGACAGAGAAAGTGACACAGAGACGTGTTATATTACGCGAATACGGTAACTCCGATAAAATAATTTACGTGTGAGCTCGACAAAGGAACACGTGGCAAATGCGCAAGAATGATGTCAATACGCATCTTGGAGAAAAAAAATTTTTTTCTTCTTTGTGCCAGAAGGTAGCCAACAATCGGTTGCTTTTAAATTGCCAGACCGACGACGCAGATTTTATTTCTGAATCTTAATCCTCCCGTTAGGTCTTTTTGTGTTTTTTACCAATTGTCACTCTCTCTCTCTCTCTCTCTCTCTCTCTCTGTTGCTCTTTTTCCGATACTCAGCGTCAACATATCGCGCGAAGATGTCAGCTGATAATTTTAGCCGTTTTTGTCACGAAGGAGACGAAAAGGAAAATGACGACAACGTGTTTCAACGATGTAAATTCGCCGGAAGAATTTTTGCAAATTGTGCAAATTCGTTAATGTAACCATAGATGTGCATTAATTTTAGATTTTATGTGTATGTATATATATGTGTGCACATGTCTTAGCCTTACACGCAGGAACACGTTTATTTAATTACAGTATAATATTTATTAGAGTATAATATTGAATAGAGCGTCATATATATAACGAATCACTCAACACACACTAATCAACGAGCTGTGCGCTTTATTAATGACTAATCCGCACCTTGGGGTGCATCGCAAATGAGGTATGACGTATAACACTTTACGAATCTGTGTGTGCGCGGCGGTGTGTGTGTAGTTAAAGACAAATTTTATTTTTCTACATCGCAAACGCGTCCGCAAAAAACGACAATTTTGATAAAAGATAAAAGTATCGCTGTGCATTTTCGATAACTGTGGCCGTTTTATTGCAGAACGTTTTTTTTTTTTTTTTAATTAAAATTGTTAAAGAAAAATCCGACGAGAAAGGGACACGCGCAAACACTAGAGATCAGGAGAGATATTTAAAGAGCCGAAAACTTGATTGTACAAACACTAAGGACTAAACTCCAGAAGAGAGATTGTAAAAACTTGAAGGGTCCATGTGGACCGAATACTGATGCTCGTGTTCATATCTGCTGTGGCCTACTTTGATACAAGTTTAGACATAGAAATTTTTGGCCTAATCGCGCGCGAGTCGCACGCCGATCGCTTTCTTTTCGCTTACACACACACACATACACGGCTATCTCTCTCACCAACCCGCGCGTTGACTGACTCATCTTACATACGCATTACGAATTGTTGTCAATGACGAACGCGCGTTGACGAACTATTTCCGTGATCTGTCGTTCGCGCGCGATAACGCGATTCTCGCGTTATCAAGAAGAACCGGAAGAAACAAGAAAAAAAAAAAAAATTAAAATAATAAAGCACCGAGATCAATTTGTAAAGTTGACGATGAGCGAGGTTAGCGATCATTCGTTTTGCGAGTTCAGCATATTTGCAAAGTTGCAAGAGCGATCGCGCGAAATTTACTGAGGTTTATTATAAGCGTGTGAAGCCTCGTTTTTTGTGTCACAAAATTTAATCATCGAAGAGAGCATTGATTAAAGTACGTCTTAATTTTAATTTTATATACACTAACAGGATACTCTGCTAATTGTTATAAAATAATTATTTATGTACAACTGTGCGATCGATAATTGTGTTGGCAATATGATTTATTTTTTGTATTTAATATTCTCTGATTTGAATGTATTTGTTTTTCTTTTACTCTCCGCACGTGGCTTTTCTCTTTTTTTTTTGCTTTCTTTTCTTTCTTCTGTATTTCTGACACGTGTATCTTGGTTTACAATTATTTAGGCTGCAAAACAAGTGCAAAACAGAGTTGGCCGCGCCGGCCTCGGCGAAGCGCGAGCACAACGCAACATGTGCGCGTCGGTCTGTCGCAGCACGCATGAAAACCAAGTAGCAAATTGGCAGCTGTAAAATAGGTCGAGGAGAAAAAAAAAATTGGCGACGCATCGGGGAAAAACGTAGCGCAGCGCCTCTCTACCCCGCCAGACCAAACCAAACTTGTTTCCCGTTGTTTAGTTGTCCGTTAGTTCGTTCCACCGGTGAAGAGCCGGGCCATATCCGTGCCGTTTCTTCCGCGTAAGTAACGAAATTTTTCAAGTCTTTCTATCTGCATCTTTAATCGCGTACGCGCGTTTCACACATCACGCGCGCTTCTCGCGCCGCAACGTTACGCGTGCATTGTCTCTTATTTGTATATATTCGAAAACAGCAGAAACATCTAGAAAGTAAGTCAGTCGCGAAGAGAAAAAAATAGTAAAAGAGAGAAAGAAGAGGATATGGTGCAGGTTGGATTTTAATTTACATTTTCACGCGTATATATTATTTCCCTTCTACTTTTACAAGTAATGCGTTTCTTAGATTTCTATTCTTTTGCAACGTTAAGCATATTGTTAAGAGCATTTGTTGTTAAAAGCTCGCGTTGTTCGCGACTCGTTGCGGGTAAAGGTTTTATCACGCGACTGATTATTATTTTCAACGCGTGTGCGCGCGCGAGAATAAGCAGACGAAACGACGGGGTTTAACATTAATTACAACGTTCAACAATCAGAGCGATTAATTGCAAATCGAGTTTCTCTCCGATTCGCGTGTGAGATATCGGCAAGAGATTCATCGTTGTATGTTGGTTCGAAATTTTTCTTATCTCTCGGAATAAACGGAGGAGAAGAACGCGAGGTTGAGAACCGTCGACGACGTTCCTTTTCCTCCGGCAACGTTTCGTTTGAAGTTTGCGACTTCACCGAATTTGCGCGCGAAGTCGCGTAGCGAAATACACGCACAAATTGACGTCGCTGATCGAGATCGACGATGTTCGATTTCGCGCGATGATGTTCTCCGCGTCAACAACACACGCGGGGCCGTACTCCGATAAAAAACACGCGCGCGCGCGTGATAAGAATAGAATCGGCGTTGTGAAGAGAGGCGTTCGCTTCTCTTTCGCGTTCCTTCTTCCCCGGAAGTGCGCGCTCGTTACCATCGCACCTATCGTGCCCGTAGTTTCTCAGGTGCTTTGTGTACACACGCAACAACGTCTCTGTCCGTGCGTGTCACACACAATAAATACGCGACCTCTAGTTGTAGTGGTGGTGGTGGTGGTGGTGGCGGTGGTGGCAGAGCGAACACTTGCGGTCGCAACACAACTGCTCTGCACACCATCGCGTCGCATGTACACGTGTGTGACCATTCTCTCTCTCTCTCTCTCTCTTTCTTTCTCGTCAGTCGCTAACTTTTTTTGCGCAAGAGACGCGCTTCTCTCGAAATACCGGATCAGGTTAGGCGGAATAATCGCGCGACCTTAAAGGCAAATTGATCGGCAAGGTGAGAGAGCAACACCGCTTCCGCTCGTAAATATCCCCACACACACACGGTGAACAAGATTTTTCCGTACGAAACCTCCTCCATTAGGATGTTCATTAGACGTCACACGGAGTTTACGGACGTCCATTAGACGTCTGTGTGGGATTTGTTTCACAGCCGTATATTTTGCGCTCTTTCGCGTTTAAATATAACAACACGTAAATATAAACCGCACGCCATAGAGATATATATTTTTAACGAGAGATCAAACTTTTTTATTTTTATTTGCGAATAAATCGGGTTGGAATGGATGCGACTGATTTTCGTTCGACGAAGACAGATGAGAAATTGTCCGAATTGGATATTTACGATGAATAATTGTTTTGTTTTATTTGATAGTTCGGGTTTAGATCGAAGTAAAGGGAAGACATTGCCGGTGATTCTCAGAGCTGTCTGCGTGAGAGTCTCGTTATCTGCGATGAATATTTGATTTGTTCAAAAAACGGTGATAGAAAGTAATTCGTTAGGTAATTTCGTTTGTTCGGTCGAGTGGCGAGATAACGTCGGGCCGGCCCTGGTCTCCGGCACGACCTTGCGGTATGCGAGACGCAGTCTCTGTCTCTTTCTCTCTCTCTCTCTTTTTTTCTCTCTCTTCTCTCTCTTTCTCTCTCTCTCTCTCTCTCTCTCTCTCTCTCTCTCTCTCTCTCTCTCTTCTTACACACGTGAGGAACGAATGACATCATCGCCGATGAAAGTGTACATAACTGAGCAATGCATCACACACTTTGCTCGGCCACCGTGTACCGGATGATCAAGACGCTTGTGTGTTCTCCAAGTGGTTTCTCCGCTCTTCGAAACACCAGCTACGTCGAAAGTGGTCACGTCTTTGACGCGAACGTTTTGGAAAATTGAACGCGCGGTTTGTCGAGACATTTTCCACGTGTGTTTTCAAATGCAATCAATTTGCGCAAGCGAAGCTTTTAGCGACGATTTCACGGAGAAACTCGCGTTGTTATCAAAAAAAAAAAAAAGCTTTAATTACGTATTTAATTTGTATATTTAATTACACACATGTATATGTGTGTTTTACATGACTTTTAGAGAGAGAAAAAGAGAGAGAGAGAGAGAACCATAACGGTTGAAATTTTTATTGGGACGGAGAGTCTAATCAAGATCATTTAAACAATGAGTTTCTCTCATTTGCCTGTGTGGTCTCGAGAACTTTGCATCATCGTATAATTCTTCGCGAGAGCGTGGCGCTGCGGGATCGCGCGGTGCCCACGTTTTAAACAAATGTCAGAAATGGTTGAGAAACGTTCTTCAACGTAGCTTATATATACGCACACAATTCAACCGCTCTCACGCGGAACTCTGACAATTTTTATTTATTTTTTTTTTATTTTTACGTTCGAGCAGATTGCGCACAGAAAGCCCGGGAGCGCGCATTCAACGAATTCCCATTTCCGGCGCACAATTGCGATTCGTATCTCTCGCTCTTCTTCCGCGCGAGCGGGATTCCAATTACAGATACGCGCGAGAGGACATTATCGAGACGTTCGTTTATTGATAACGAGTGAGGTAATAGTTTGTGGGTCACTCCGTGTCGGATGGTCGATCGACGAACGCCGGATGAAAGGGGGGGACAGGGGAGACAAAAAAAGGAAACTCTCTAACGTCCGTCAACCAGATGGTTCAGTTTGTCACAAAAAAGGAGGGTGTATGACTCACGACAAATCTTCTGTCGGTTGGAATCAACTACGATTTTCAACATATATATATATACATATATACATATTTCTCTCTTTCTTTCTCTCTCTCTGTATCAGCTCGCGCGTTACGCATGCGAGAGAGACACGTGTTCCACGTGTCTTGTATCACACGGAGATATATACAAAGCGTCCGTTCGAACGGCACTTTATAACGAACACAATAAATAGCATTGTGTCTCGGATCGTCGCTCTTCTATCTCTAGCGTTATATTCGCGCGAAGAACTCTCTTGTGTAACACGCGCGAGCTTTGTGTTTTCAAGTTTCCGCGATATTGTTGTGAAAAAAAAGAAAAAAAATAATATTACGTCAGCTATTTTTCCTTTTATATTTTATTTATCGCTCACGATTCTCTTTTTATATTTGTCGCTCGTATTATTTACTGCTTTTTATATTTTACGTCTTATATTTAAAACATTTTTTCTCTTCTTTTTATATATCTCGCTTATTTATACACACGTTTTAATCCGTTGTTTCAATCAAAGGGACTTTTCCAAAGGGTTAATCGGTGAAGTTACATAACACACACACACACACCCTTTACCCGCGTGGCATTTTCCCTCAAAGGGGTTTATAAACAAGAACAAGTTTTTGTTATTTATATAATCCACGTAAATGCGAACCGCTCTTATATTTATAAGGACAGAATTTATAATACCACATCGTTTCTCTCAACTTGTCTTCATTCATGACATTATTTATATCTTATTCTAATCGAGAGATCTTGAATTCACATCGCAGAAGGAGGTTTGAAAAATTTGATGTATTAAGAATATTGAAATTTACTTCATTGTCATTCAGAGCGGCGCGATTCGCGTTCGCTCGAGCCTGAGTTCGAATAAACTCAGAGAGCCCGGAAGTACGCGCGTGAATAAATTCGGATTAAGTCGTCGAACGTGTCGCGTGCCCGGACATACACGAAAAAGGCTTCCCAATCCGAGACGCGTGACATCCCGTAACGGTCGGTCCCGAAACCTCGAGACGCGGGTTACGTGCGAGGAAACCGTCAATTAAGGGTTTGCAAAATAAAGAAAAACGCGTTCATTCAGGAAACTGGTTAAAAAGTAGTACGATCCGATATAGTGCCCACGTGGAGGAGAGCAGGTCCGGTGGTGACGTAGGCGGCCGGCGATTTCGTCTTGCTCCGGCGAGTCGCGCGAGGTGCAACAGAATTCCGTTATAATTCCAGTGCACAGAAATAAATACCTCGCGACTTCTAAATAGCGAGATATATATATATTTTTTTTTTTTCATCGATTTTGTTTGTCATGTCAATTACGTTTTGTTGCGCGCTCGACCGTTCGTCTCGTTCCGCGATTTTAGTTGTTCGTGCGAATTTCAAATAAACATATTTTCAATAACGAACATACATTTTCAACGAATATACATTTTCCGCACATAATTTTTGCTAGAGACCGTTCGCGATAAAAAATACGCACAACTTGCGTGCATTTCCGCGCGCATTTGACGGTGTGAAAACAGATGTGTTTAAATATAAAACTGCAAACATGCGCGCGCAATTTACCTACAGACAACACGATTATTGCAGATATCTTGTTTAGATATGCTAAATGTGGTTTAACAAAAGAACACTGTATGTGCGCACTATATGCAACATATGTGTGACGCGTAGCTCTAAGAAAAAAAAATTGCGGATGACCGTTACTGAACGAAAAACCCAGACGGAGGAGGAAAACAAAAATTCATTTTGCGAAACGGTCGCGTTACGAGTCAAAAATACGTATTTTTGACGACGAGCGGTGAGACTTGAATGAACGATCGAGAGAGAGAGAAACGCTCGTTTCTCGAAACGCGTTGATTCATTCGAGCGCATTCCGCGCTATCGATTTAGACGGGACAGAGGATAGTCGCGAAACAAAGGATAGTTATCAACGAAGACAGAGAAAGTTATTATATCGCGGCGCGAGGCGAGGTCTTCTTTTTTTTTTTTTTTTTTTTCTTTAATGTGCACACATGTATGCACACGTATCACGCATAATATGTACGTATATGCGTTACAATGACCTTTACGAGGCGAATACCGCGAGCGCCGATACGCGAGTACGATGACCCAACGTCGCAATTTCAACAACATAAACGGTATTACACGTACGTTTCGCGAAGCGAAGCCGTGTGTGCGCGAGCGAGCTCACACAGCCTCTGTCATCGGTCGACTCATTCAGGAACTAATACTTATCCCTACATTTTCTCCGTCGGTAGGAAAGTATTTGATCACAATTTGTTTTTTGTTTTGTTTTACGAAACACAAAGCAATATTTTTTCGATCCGATTCGAACGCACTAGGAGCGGAATATGGAAAATAGATCAGAGAATCTCTGGGTTTTCTTTTTCCAGATCTATATCGAAATGACGTCTGTTGTTATATTTGTTCGCACAGAAAAAAAAAAACAAGATAAAAAGCCGGAAAAAGAAGAAAAGACAGACAGGAATGCGAAGTAGCAAATCACCCACTTCCTCGATTCCGGGAACGATGAAACCGGTCGCGACGTCACCGACATCGTCACCGCCGGTTGCGACACCACCGTCCGCGGGTTCAACGTCGTCGCCGGTATCCGCATCGTCACCGGCTACATCACCGTCGTCGCCTGTCAAAGTGAAATCACCCGCACCCCAGCCGCCGAAATCTCATCCGGTTACGTTGCAGCCGGCGATCACCGCGCAATCACCCTCGTCGCCGTCGGCACCGCCGTGCAACGAGTCAGGTAAATAACCGAAACCAGAAAAAAAAAAAAAACAATTGATTCATTTAACCGATTACTTTATATTATACACGGCGACGCGCGGTTAATTCAGTCTGATTAGCCGCGTTCTCTCTCTATCTTCGCTCTTTCTTTCGCAACTCGAATCTAGATAAGGAGGGAAAATTTAGTTGACCTGGTAATTCTCTCGTCGGAGCAGCTGAGTGTTCGCAGAGTTCAATTAGCGGGATTAACATTTCCCGGCGACCCCTTTCAAATCACAAGCCAACGCTATAGAGCGCGGATGTGCGTATCTTAATTTCCTGAAAATTATGCAACGAATTAACGAAAGTTAATTCGCCGCCACAACAATCAAACGCGTTCTTGGTTGTGATCAGGAAAGCAAAACGTTTACGACACACCACGCACTTCATCTCCTCACGCGACTCTGTATCTAATCTCATATCCACCGATGACAAATAAAAATAAAGATAACAGAGAGGATGATGAGTTTTGTCAGCGTACAAACTATCAACGTCGTATTTTGTAATTGTCTCGATTACATGTGACGTAATACAGTGATTACGTTTTAATTATTCTTCTCAGAGCGCGCGCGTGTCTCATTTTTTGCTTGCAATAATAATCGCGCGATTCGAGCAACGTACGTACGTTCGTGATTCTCCGTAATCATATAACTCGAAATATTGCCTCTATCATCAGTAACGACGGCTGACCACGAGAAATTCGAGCTGCCCCCGTTGCCACCAATCTGTTACTGTGCAGAAGGACGAACTTGTGTGTGCTCACCGCGGCAAACTGTGCCCGCCGTGAGCACTGATCAGTGTAAAGTAGATAATAGTCGTCTCCGTTGATGTTTATATCAACGTCATCCAACAGACGGTCGTATTGCCTTGTCGTTATCATCATTCGCATTTGCGACGTTTTTCGGGCCGCGTTTCCTCACCTCGCCGCGTCTTGTTATCCCGAGATATGAGATAAAAAGATTAATATCCATCGTATTTGGATGTGTGAAAAACATTTCTACGATAAGCACGTATCGTCGCGGCGCGTTGGGAAATTGTTTCATCAGTATATGCTCGTCGCTCGTTTTGGTCGCGGGATTTATCTCGAAATCGAAAGCCAACGAGGGAGAGAAAAGAACGGAGACAACGGAGTCACAAAAATTTCGACGTTATCGGAGATCAAGGACGCAACTAAGAAACAAATCAATCGAATTGAAAAGATGCGAATTATATTCGTCTCTTTATTCGTCTTTTTAAGCTTTACTTTAACGAAAGACGTTCGGAGGAAAGAGTGAGAGACAAGAAACAAATTGAGAGAAAACGAACTTACGCGTGGAAAATTTATATGTGAGATTTATCTGTTTGACAAGAATAAAGAATAAATTTAAATAAACGTGATAAGAGTTCGCGACCGTCCGAAGAGACGTCTCGGATCGGGGCACAACCCATGAGTTATTTCCATGAGATTGATAATCGCGGAGTGGAGACGAGAAATACCAAGTGCGAAAATTCTGAAGGAAGAGTACGTAATGTGAAAGTGTGATGTGTGACGTGCCGAAGAGAAACAGTGCCGAAAGTTTTTTAAGTGATGATCCGCTTTACCGTCGATGCTCGAATGCGTAGGAAGTTGATGAGAAAAAATTTACTTTCGTAAAGCTAACGTTCCAAAGAGGGAAAGAGAAAGAGAGAGAGAGAGAGAGAGAGAGAGAGAGAGAGAGAGAGAAAAGAAGCGATAATGCTTGAAAAATTTTGGTTAAATAAAAACAGAAGACTCGTATCTTGGATAAATATGAACCAGAAATAAAACACAGATAATTATCAGTGTTTTGTAAAACGAGTATATTCCTTTTATACGGCAGTTGTTATCTCTTATCGCAAGTTAAATTTATCAATAGCTACTTCAAATATCGTCGAACAATCATCGTCGTTTGATCCGCATAGCGTCGTTGAAACACTTCAGTTTCGATCCTGACAACCGAGTGCAACGTGCAATAAGAAAAAGGAGGGGAAAAAAAAACGCGCGTCGTGTAAAACAAATCGGAAATAATATGTTGCGTTCCGCACGCGCGGCGGAATCCGAGTACTTCGAGGCGTCGTGGAAAACCAAGATAGAGCAGATGCGCAGACATCTGAGAACATTGTTTCGAAGCGCTCTCGGACGATGTTACAAATCAAAGAGAAAAGGCTACACCAGATTTTTGACGGAGGAAGAGAAAAGGTGCTGACGCGTTTTTTTTTTTTGCGCGCGAAAACGCGCACACTTTGCGAATTTATTTACATATACGCGTCTCGTTTTCGAGCTTCTAAATAAGTTGTAATTGCCGTGTTGCGATTGCCAATAAGAAATTTATTAACATTTACTCGAAGTTAATTTAATGAAGTTTTTTTTCGGTATTATCCTTTTGATGTCATTGTTTATTATAATATAAGAGCTGAGAGAGAGTCTCAAAAACAGAAGAGAAAACAAATGAAATGGAACAGGCGTCAAGTGTAAAAAAAAAAAAAAGTAATCTTGTAGGTATAAGAAAGCGATGTGTGTGAATTCACAAAAGACACGGTGAAACACGTGGTGTCTGCCTTTCTCTTTGTTAATATATTAATATATTAATATATTAATGTGTTAACGAGATAAAACGAATGTAAATATTTCGACGCTCAAGTGTAATTGCTGTCATTTAGATTGTTATCCCATCATTGTTTCAGATGGCTTGCTGCCGCCGAGTACGACATATCCATCCGGTTTGCAATGCCTTATGAACCTTGATTACCTTTTCCTGAACCAGAATCTCGGGTCCCTTCAGTGTAAGTATTCGACTTTGGCGTGAGACAAAAATAAAATGCGCTCCTCCTCTTTGCGCGCGCGAGCGTGTATTTTCGAAATACATAAGCGACGGTTTCTCTCTTCAGTCGTTGTAACGTGTGTAATTTTTTTGTGTGTCTTGGTTACTCGAATAAACAATAAACGTGTTTACTTTTTTGTTTTTGCGTTGTTCTTCTCTTCAGCATTCGCCGGATGGGATGTGGACAACAAATATGTCAGTGTTATGACCGCCAAAAATGAGACTATATTCTACGTGGCCGAGGAATCGGGTGTATGCGGACGAGTCTTTCTTGACAATTACCGTTCCTGCGAGTTTATCATCTTCGATCGAGATCATCACGAGGTTCTTCGCATGATACGACCTTTTCGATTTCACAATTGCTGCTGTCCTTGTTACTTACAGGTACATAGCTTTGTCCTCGAGATTGTTGCTTCTTTATTTAGTACCCGTTTATATTATTTCTTCACACATACACACACGAAGCGTTTCAGAAATTGAAAAAAAGATTTTGTTCCCGTTGCAATGACAATTTCTTCATAATTAATTTATGAAGAAAAGGTAAAACAGTTTTGGAAAAGAGTTTTTAGGTTTGATATTGAATAATATGTTAAATTCGCGAATTGAGAACTACTGACGTGTGTGTGTGTGTGTGTGCTCGCTAAAGTTTCTTCACATGTGCAGACCATCTGCCAGACTTTATCTTTGATGAAAGTCTGCTTGCATCATTGAAAGTTTCGACGCTAATATGCTCCAAAGAGAAATAATGAATTTCTTGTTTTGACGTCTCTGTCCAGAAAATATTTTTTTTTTACTCACGAAGGTGCAAATAACGTATAATTAAATCGATTGGTTTGAACTAAACAGCGTTTTTTAATTAAACTAGCACAGGCGCGTGCTACGCGCACGCTGTTATTGTTTTTATTTTAACGTATTGTGTCAGTAAACACAACCTGTCATCGCGATTAAAATATGATGACAGTTAATATATACGTCTTACAAACCATATAATACACATGAAGTACAAATGAGAGATATCAGAAATAACATGAAAATCAAACTCAAAAACTAAAAAAAGGGAAGAGTGAAAAAACAACACGTAACAAGGAGAAGTAGAGAAACACCATATGACTAAAGTCACGTGACAAGAAAAAGAGTAAAAACGAGAATATTATATATATCATATATAATATTCTATATCTATATATAATACACACACACACACACACACATATATATATATATATATATACCGTAATCACGTGATCAAAGTCAGTGACCCCGCCAAAGTCGCGCGGCCGAGGTTGTAATTTTTTTTTTTTAATGAATAATTCTTGATTTATGTCAAATAATATGATTAATGTCATTGTGTTACGTGTATATTCGCAGGTCTTAGAGATTTATTCAGGAAATACTCTATTAGGCAGCGTTACTCAAGAATGGAGTTTGTGGCGACCAAAGTTTTTCATTCGCGATGCGTCCGGTACACCGGTAATGAAATTACTCGGACCAATTATTTATTTTTGGGCTGGCGTAACTTTTAAGGTATTACGGTGGTGTAAAACTTGATTGAATTTGTATCTTGTGAACGTAATTGACGAAAAATTCAAATTTGCAGGTCAAGTCAATGGACAGTAAGCATCGCATCGGCAGGATTCAAAAAACTTTGGGCGGCATAAGTTCGAAAGACTCGACCATTGATCTCTCCAATGACAAATTTACTATTAGTTTTCCACACGATCTTGATGTAAAAATAAAGGCCATATTGCTGGGAGCATGTTTTTTGATGGTGAGTACATCGCGTAAAACAGAGAAAGAAAAAAGAGAAATAGAAATTTTTATTAAAATTATTAAAATTAAGTGAAATATATTAAATTTCTAATGGTCGTAACATTCCAGGACTTTATGTGTTTCGACAGAGTGGACTAGTCTGGCCTAGGATCGGTTTCATGTATAATTTTAAGAGAAAAAAAACAAAGCCAAAAAATGTCACATAATTACGTCTCTGTTGAAAGAGCCTTTTGTGTGCGTGCAATGTGTATCGAATACTTCGAGATGTAATTGTCCGGAAAAATATGCACATGTAGCGTGTCTTATTAATCGTAAACTATTAAGATTAGCTGTGACTATATTAGCTGTGACTTTATTTTTTAATCGTATTACAAGTAAGTTTTACTATGTCTCTTTTTATTTAAGTATACTCTCTCAGTTATTAGATTATATATATACAGAGAGATGTGATCGAGTGGATCTGTCTTCGTCAGAACAAAAAAAGGTTGACCTCTATCTCGAGAAGTCCTCTATTTTTTATAAGCGCTATATACTTGTCATACATTTACTTCCATCTCGACAAACTATCTCCTGTAAGCATTGCGTATACTTCCGTATCTGTCTATTTACATTTAAACTGTCTTCCTTTTTGTTTTTGAGTAGATACATATATGTAGGACCGTACGTAAGGTGTACGAATACTATCACAATCTCTTCATCCGCAAAATAACAATGAATTGTTATACTCGCTGATACATACTATGTCAAGACTGGATTTTATTCATTTCAAAAAATATCGCCAATTTGTATAAGTTATGCGAACCAATACGAATAGATTTATAACTTTATTAGTACATAACGTACCAGGTTTAGACATAAAAAGGGTGGTTTATGTGTAATATATATATATATATAAAAGAAAGATTTATCATGCACACCACCAAGATATACAGAAACTAAATATTCGTGTACATCGGCATGATGTGTAATAACGTATTGAATTGTTTCCAAAGTTCGTAGCGTTTTATACTTGTTGGCATTACCGTAAATCACTACATGTCCGAGATGTGTACGCGAGACATCGCACAGATACTGAAATCACGGTGTGCATGAACATTTACAGAAGTTAAATTAAGTAAGCCGGTGCGATGAGCCTTTGAATTTTATTAAACAAAAAAACGTTACGTACTTTCCAAACAACTCGTATATTTATATCACAATCTCAGACCCTTGTATAAAACCGTACTCGACGACGAGCTTAAACTATATATATTAACACAATAATATATATATACATATATATATATATATATATTTCTTGAAGTATTTATCAAAAAATAAACTTTATGAGACCGTATTTAATTTTGTTACTCGTATGTATTCATTTCTAAAATATAGTCTTAGGCACGGACTACTCTAGACTTGTAGATTGATGTTAAAAGAATCAACGATGTAATCACAATAAACTCATTGCGTGTGGTCGGACTTCAAAAATTTTTTTTTTTTATTTGTTTATGTGATGACGTAGTATTGGGATTCGCATTTAATAAGGATCAGCATTAACAGGAGAGAATTAAAAAAGTACACACGTGATGTACATAATGTGTATGTCTTTTTATTTTCGTGTTTCATTTACTTGTATTCTCATCGTACAATGTTTTTTTTTTGTCGGCTGGTACATTCTCTAGAATATTGCCGTAGCGCTCTTCTTTAAACCTCGGCGCGCTTACTCGCGTGTGTTTTTGGTGGTGCGTAGTAATTTCCGTCGCGCAAGGATGTTTTCGTTCTTCCTCTCACATGTAGTAAAAAAGAGAATGAAAAAACGTGAATGTTGCTTTCCACCATTCGCAGACTAGAAAACCGTCAGAGCACCGAGAACAGCACTCGCGAATCTTGATAGTTCCGTGAGGATTGCAAAACGAACAATTTAAACGTTGTCGTCGAACGAATCTCTCTCGTTTTAAACAGCGACGACTTTTATCTCTTCTATCTCTCTCTCTCTCTCTTTCTCTCTCTTTCCTTGTTATCTCATTTAATAGACAATCACGACGAATTTGCAGGGAGATTAGCACTAGAGCATTACTAAGTGTGTGAGAATGCGCGTGACTATGCGTCATCGGTTAAACGAATACACTAGCGATTGCGACGAAACAAAAAAAAAAACAAAAAAAAAAAAAAGGGAAAAAACTAAGAATCTCGCGAATATACCGCCTCGAGAACTTCTTTCCCGAATTTTCAAAATTACGCACTAAGAACAAAGAAAAAGGAACAAGTGAACGGAACTAAAAAAAAAAAAAACAAAAAAAATACTGTAAAATACAACGCGTATGGTACGACAAAAGTTGCTCTCGCGTAGCCTCTTAATTTATTCTCACTGATCACACTCTCATTTATCGTCTTTAGTTGAATACTGTATTTTGTTTTTGCTTCTAACGGATCGTAGAAGTTAATACTGAAAACACAAAATAATAGCATACTTAACAAATGAAGTGTAGAGAAGTAAAATCGATATAAAATAACACAGTTAACTTTCCTTCTTCCGGTTTTTGTATCCTTTTAAAAAACAAAAAAAAAGTTTATTTATGTAAGAACAAGAGCAACTTATATCGTACTTGACACAGTGCTAATTATAATATTAATACATATATATATATATAAAGATGGGAAACGCGGAAATAGCTGGTAATAGCTCGATGTCGCCGGCGCTAGATCGTTGTCGAACGTTTTTTCCTCCAGCGACTTTTTTTTTTTTGTATTCCTAGAATAAAATTCTCACGCCGTAGACAGAGCCTCCAGCGTGTGACCGCCACGTAATGCAGTGGCGTCGAACGGGGCTACGATGAAGGGTTAAACGAATATGTGTGTTGGTGTTGAGAGGGGGGTAAAGGGACGAAAGGGCGGGTTTAGAGGCTGGCCTCGAGCTTGATGATTTCGGCGATGCCGTCGTTCATCTCCTTCACAGCCTGGTACTCGGTAAGGCCGAGACGACGCTTGTTGGAAATGTCGTAGATACCACCCTCGGCCTCGGTATGCTCGCCGCGGGTGCCGCGCACCTGCAGATTGTATTTGGCCGCGACTTCCTCGAGCTTTTCCTTGTTCGACGCCAGTTTCGGCACCTTGATGTGCACGGACGCGCGCACCGTTGTGCCCAGATTCGTCGGGCAGAACGTCAGGAATCCGAAGCGATCGTTGTGCGAGAAAGGCAACCTCTTCTCGATTTCGTTAACCGCCGTCACCAAACGTCGGTATACCTGCGCACACACACAACACGCAAGAGAAATTTAATTATTACATGTTAACTCATCGTACGATTAAGTTAACGCGTTTATTTCTAAATAAATTACCTGTCCTAGATCACCTCCCATCTGCATAGAGATGATACGGAGATGGTCCTCTTCGTTGCACCAAACCAAGAAGGTCTTGGCATCGTTGTGAAAGATGCCGCGTCCGGTCGGCCAGAAGCGGCAGGCGTTCGCCGCCTGAAGAAAACGATCACCCTCCTTGAAGAGGAAGTGATCGTCAATCAGCTTCTGCTGCACTTCCTTGCTCATGCCGGTGAGAGGGTAGAAAGTACCCTTCAATTCGCCGCCGAGACCTGAGAGTGTGCTGGACACTTTCTCTTCCATCTCCTTGTATTGAGCCTCAGTCAGGCAAGGATTGAACGGATATCCGTCCAGGGAGCGACCGCATCGCACGCGAGTTGACACAATGTACTCACCCTGCATGAAAACAAATCTATATCACTGCCGACATCACCGCCAAAAACTTGCATTTTCGTTGCAACTTTTGCAAATATAAAAAATGAGACGAAAAAAATTAACGATATCGATTCTTGACGGTGAACTCACCGTCGGATCGAGATTGCCAAAGGAGTCGACATCGCCGAAGTCCTTGGGCGGGTGCTTGTCGCTCGCTTTGAAACCGCCGTGATAATCGTCGATGATGGGATCGAACAGCTCGCCGAAGACGGTGTACGCCTCGGCATCGGGCGCGTAGATACCCACGCCGGAATCGTGATTCTCCAAACCCGACTGGATGACATCCAGAAGAGTGGAGCCGAACGAGGTCTTCCTGGTCTTGAGTTGATCGAAGACCTCTTTCGTCAAGTGTTTCTTCAGCAACGATTTGCTGTCAGACGCCGCCAGCTTGGCGTAGCCGGTCTCCAGCTTGTCCAGAACCGCTGCGTCCACCATATTGTTGCTTTTTTTGCTGTAACAAAATTATCAAACGATTATGCAAACATAGGTTTTAAAATGTAAAAATAACAAAACAAATTACAGATCTTGTAATTGCAATTATTCAACGATGCTTCGAGTCGCTTCGTTTAGAAATTTGAATCTTCCGAGATCGATTTTTTTTTTTTTTTTTTTTAAAGTGATGTTTCCTTACAAATTATCTTCAATTAATAAATTTTTTTCCTGTAATCGCAGGTTTTTTTTATCATGTGCGGAGAGAGTACATCGAAGTTGTTTTGACGAGTCAAAAGTTTCAAAACGAGATAACAACGAATGCAATAAAGCCAGACAGCCAGTCGCATTCTTGCTACCCCATGTAACTCTCCAATTGCAAGTGCAGATTATTTCAACATCTGTCGTTGTCTCGATCGAAATAGTTGGTTTTCCCCGATCCGATTAAATCGGATCACAACTGTGACTCATCTGTGATGACGCGTATCTGATTTTATTCTTTCCGTCGATGCAACATCGGTTTTTTTTTTTTTTTTTTTTTTTTGTTTCATTAGATCTCTTATATTTTTGATCATCTTACGGTTATTATTATTATTTTTTAGTGCAATATGTGTGCTTTGTTCTTGGTGCACTTGTTTCCCGCAGACTCTAGGATGCACTGAATGATAAACAAATCCTCTCTCTCTGAAAGTTTCACGGAAATTGCAAAATGCAATTTACAGTTTGTTCGAGGATTAAATTAGTTCGCTTTTTTCGCGAGTTTTAAAAGAGATTAACGTTGCGACATTAAATGCAATATCTTTCTTAAGAAAAAAAAAACAAAAAAAAAAAAAAAACAAAACTCGTTCGCAAGAAGAAAAACTACTCTCGAGCACTTCGCGAAATTGTTTACGTTGCAAATGCAAATTAACACACGTGTGTGTAATAAACTCGGTAACAAACTCGCGCTTGTTTCTCGAGTGTAAAATCCTGAAAACGCGCGGAGTGCATCCTGAAGTCGAGGGCCGAATGAGCATACGTACTCGTCGTCGTCGTCGACGTTGTCGGTCTGTTGGACGACGTTTTGTTGCTCGTCCGTCGACTCGCATATACCCAGCGACGAGCATATGCCGCCCATCGCTGCTGCTCGTCGGGACGCAAATTACGCGCCGATCGTCGATTCGAACGAGAAGAGACGAGTTTAGATAGAGCTTATGCGATCAATCCTCTTACGCGCGACACACATGCGGAGCACACGACGTCGCAAACGTTTTAAACCATTGCTACGTGGACGTCGTCGCGCGAAGACGTTCGCAGAGACCCCGTCGCAAACCCAGACCTGGCAAAGGTCGTTATGAAATTATAAAAAAAAAAAAAAGAGGCTCGGAAACAGTCGCTGACCCGCTAAAAAATCCGCGACATCCCGGAGCCACTTAGATTCTTATCAGATATCCGTGTTATATAATTGTACATTTAAAGAGCTACAATTTTTTAAATATAAATTTACATTAAAAAGTGTAATATAATACTTTTAAGAATTGTATTTTTTTAGGAACGTTTTGTGAGGAACGTGTACATTACACGTGTAACACAGAGTTTTAGATATCAGTTTACGTTGAAAAAAAAAATGAAATAAAAATATATTATACACATGTAAATTGTATGCGGAGTTGAGATATTGTATGCGGAGTTGAGATATTGTATGCGGAAGAGGAAGATGTGATGGAAAAGGACAGGACGACGAGGAGACGATTACAGGCGAAACAAAGAAGGCGGATTCTTTCTCGTCTCTCCGGAGACTCTCACGGATACGTACTCGTCACCCGACGTTGTATCCTTCGAAGCACATCCGCCCATGTCGCTGGCGACGACGAGGAGACTATGACGACAAAAGACGACGCCCCTGATGAGCGTGAGACGAACGGAAGGCAAAGAGAGAAAAAGAAAAAGAGAGAGAGAGAGAAAGAGAGAGAGAGAGAGAGCGCGCGTGATCGAACGAGATAAAAACACACCAAGTCTCACTACTGATGATCTCCGATTGTAAACGCGCAAAATCAGTCTTTCGCGACCGAGTGCGCTCCCAGACGCACGCACAAAACGTGTGAGAAGGAGACCGGAGGAACGCGGGTGTGGACGGAGTCCTCGTGGCCTTCGACGAATGTCCGTTCCTCTTTCCTTTCGTCGCTTCCGGTCGTGTTTCCTCTCTCTCCCTTCCCGGGATCGGTGAGAGATCAAATGCCCAGCGAATCCTGGTGGATTGTTCCCGAAAACAACACAGGCTCGCGATAGGGTCAAAGGTCACGACACGACGGATCTTTCTCTCTCTCTTTCTATTTACTGCCCTCGTGCGTTTCGTACCCTCCTCCCTCGACGCGCGTGTCTGCCCTTCCGGCTCGTTTCTGCCGCCGCCGCCGCCGCTGCTGCCGCTGCTGCTGAACGACTGTTGCTGCTGCCGCTCTTCCGGCTCCCGCGTGTCTGTCTCTCTCTCTCTCTCTCTCTCTCTTTCTCTCTCCTCACCGTACGGAGTGCTCTATTAATGTGTGATGCACGATGGTGCTCGCGTTAGTTTCTCGCGTTAATCTCCCCGTGTGTTATACAGCGCGTGAACGCAACTCACGACGCACGTTCGCACACACCGGCGGCTGACCGTTTTTCCCTCCTCCCCCAGGAACGAGCACGACATCTTTCGACAACGATTGCTTTTGAGAGAAAGAAGAACTGACTTTTTTAATTATCTCGATCGCGCGCACGTAATATACGAATTTTGCGCATTCGACAAAAATTGAACAAACACGTAAAGCTGCGAAAAACAAAGAAATTTGTCTCTTTTTTTTATTAACTGCTCACAACAAATTCTTTAAAAAACGGATTGCTTTGTAAAATGCGCGTGAGAAAATGTGAGAAGAAAAAAATGAAGATTGCACAAGAGCGCTTCATATTTCTCGCTTTTCAAAGTAATGTTTTATTAATTCGAACTTAGCAACACTGAACGATTATTATTCGATAAATGTCGATAGATCGAGAGGAATAAAAAAAAAAAAAAAAAAAGATTAATTGCAAATATTAAAAAAATTATTTTACGTTGAAACTTTATTACGTCGAAATAAACTTGGTTCGCGGCAATAATCGACTCTCTCATCGATCAATTAAAATTTATTTCGCGCTGTAATTTGACGACCAGCGTAATTAAGACTTTGAAACACGACGAGAGAACGTTTCATTCGGAATGTCGAGTTGTCGCGCCGAGTCGTCACCACACTCGAGAAGTAAGAGGAGTTTCAACAAATTCTGACATTCCTCTTGACACATGTCACTTTCTTGAGGAGCGAACGTCATTTCTCTATACCACGCGAATGATTTACAAGCAAACGAAAAAAAGAATCAGCACAACAACAAACAAGCCGAACGCGGATTTCGCTCGAAAATTTTTTGCCGCAAAAGCACGCGTTCGACCTTCGAAATCAAGAGAGATAATCGTAATCCCAGAGAGATCGGGCGAAAATTTTGCAACCGGCGCCGCGCCGGGGAGGGAGGNNNAAAAAANNAAAAAAAAAAAAAAAACGGTCTCGTGGCCGCTTTTTTCGCGGGGCGAACGACGTCGGGGAGAACGAAACAGAAACGGAAGCACCATCACTACCACCTCTGCTTGAAATTAAATTTCCTCGACGACAAATCGGTTCTCCGGGCGATCTTCCTCCCCCGTGAGATTTTCGCCGGGCGCGGCCTTCAAGCACTTGTCTCTCACAACTCAATGATACGAAACACACATGTATTGCGCGTGCAGTACGCGACGGCTGTGTTCCGGCTACCGAGAGGAAATCGCGGGGGTGTAGTACGTATGTGCGTGTGCGCGTATTATACGGTACGGTATATGATACGTGTATGTGTGTTACGTGTGTGTGTGTGTGTGTGTGTGTACGCGCGTGCGGAACTAACCGGCTAATTTGTGCTAATATATATATATATATATATATGTATATATATGTATATATATTGAACTTTCTCCGGAATGGTGACGAGAATTTTGGTTAGGTGTGTGGTGTGATGTGAACACTACAGTCTCTACGCTATCACTAAGCAGGAGGCATTCTGCGTGCCCGCGATCTCCTCTCTCTCTCTCTCCCGGATCGCGCTCTCTCCCTTCAGCTCGTTATCTCCGTTCCTCCCGGCACGCGTCTAGCTAGCTGCCTCGCTCGCACGCTCCCGCGCGCCCGTTCCCGAGCTTCCTACTCTCTTCAGGGTGGGGCACACGGCCGTTCGTCCAGCGGCACAGAAGGATACCCGGTCGATAGCACGCACCTACACCCACATCGGTCGCCCGAGAGCGGGGTAACTTCCACGCACACGCACGCACGCGTGCGTGCGTGCGTGCGTGCGTGCGCTGTCAGCGCCAAGACGTGCGCTCGTTTCTCCTCGCGAGAGGAGAAATTTTCGGGATCCCCGAATCCGCCTTCCGAGTTCTCCATTTATCCCCCCGGTAGCATTAATAATGTACTACACGAGCGTCAAGTCCTGGCACTTGTAAAGTCACTGATCCCGTGACAAGTTTTGGAAGAAAGGGTGAAAGGAAGCGGAATCTCGTCTCTGTGTGATTGACGCGTGTAATTAATGTTATTTGCCACTTCCGATTCGTCTTGACGAGCGATACGACAATTCGTGTCGCTGAGTTTAACTTTTCAACTAGTTTTATAAACCAAACTAATGGTTTGTAGTGATAAACAAAAGGTACGTCATATATAGAGGAGTGATGAAAGAAATAACTGAAGACGAGTGCGGAAAATAGACAAATTAAAAAAACGCAATTGAAAATCTTTCATCGTTGTTATCTCCAGCTCTCGTATATCGAGTCTCGGTCTTAATAAAATTCCTGTTCGTTGCTCGTGATTATCTCGATAATAAAAATGTCCGCGACGAAATGTCAAGCGAGACTGGTATTTCGATTGGCGATTTGAAACGCGAGGCTTATTCGAGCGCGACGAAATGTTCGCGAGAACATATTAGCGCGCGCGACCGTCGCAATCGCATTCGTAGGTATAAAATCGATAGCATCGCGTAGTGGAAAGCCATTCCGTGTCGGCGAACGTGACCGATGTGCGAGATTTGAGGACATGTATCTTTTAACAAGAGATCGAAGTACATAAATATTAATAAATTTCGCAATGATACCGACCGATGATTTATGTATTTTTTAATAATAGTTTCTTTCATATTGTCGTACTGTTATATATAAATTTTCACCGATATTTGTAGGTTCCGAATTTGCATTTTACATCGAAAGTTTTGTTCAAAATGTACGGAGGGGTTCTTCGCGTCTAAGATTTACGCAAATGAGTCCACGTGAAGAAACCGTGTCCTAATACTGTCTATATCGTAATTCGGAAAGATGCTTGCCGATTGTAATGCAAATACATTCGCGACACTCCGACGAACGGGTGGGTAATAAAATGGCCGATTACCAACCGGATAGGCGGCGATGGAGGTGTGACGTATCGTAAGATATCATTTCGTCCAATCAGCTGTGCATAAGCGAGTATGCACATCGCCGAGTTTAATACACGCTCGGAACACGAAAACACTTTTATACAGACGTCATTTCTGTATTATTATCGTTTTATAACAATCTTGTTGTTTGTCAGAAAAAACGACAGATTTCAGATTCATCGCTTTCTAAATTACAGAAACGGATAGTTTTTTTTTTTTTTATTTTTTTTTTATTTTAACGAGAAGAAAAATGAATGCAAAGTATGAAAAAAACTTTGTAGATGAAAGCTTTTTCTGTCAATTACTTAACTATTGGAGAAATTAAAAAGAAACGTTTTTTTTTTTTTTTTTTTTCATATATCCGTCAAATTGACGGATGTGGTAAGACCCGCGAGTATACATTGAACACAATCTGGTTGTTTTTTGGAGAAAGCGGAGCTCGTTAATTTTTTAAATTTGTCGGCGACTACTGTGTGCGACTCCGATCTTTATTTATTTGTTAGAAAACAAATGTTCTACAACAATTGAAATACTGATGTGTACCGAATTGAAAATCGAGAGCGCGAGTTTACGATTCCGAACAGACAACCCTCCCCTTTTCAAACCGCACGAAATTGTCTCCGAAGATAACTCGCGTGTGTATTATTTTTAACTGCCAGCCCTTGAACTTAAATTTAAACCCGTTCTCTCCGTCAGTTTGCACAACCGCGTGTTATTCTTCGGAATTATAATCGTCGTACAGTAGAGAGGACCGGAAGCAAGAGACGGCAATCACAAAAGACTCGTTACTGCGCCTCGCGTCCACCACTTCACTGCCTCTCTCTGCCTCTTCAACCTCACGGGGGAGAACGTTCAAAAGACTCGCTGGGGAGGATGAAAGGGCAGCCAAAAGTGTCGTCGTCGTCGTCGTCGTCGTCGGTGCAAAGAAAGCGACCGCTTTGCGATATGCAACTTTCTTGACACATTACTCACGATCCTTGTCTGCGTACGTTAAAACGCGACGTTGCTTCAGGCGAATTTTTTCTTAAATTAGAGACGATTACATTTCAATGTTATAAATTTTTACATTCGTTCGGAATCGCAAGATGTTCGGAAGATAAGAATGTCATAAAAAAAAAAAAAAAAAAAACACAACTCGTCGCTTTTAATCTTGTTGTTCGGAAAGAGAAACGATATAAAATTCTCGGGTCTCTCACGACAACGAGCGATTGCAATCGCCACGTTTCGAGATCGTATTTCGCGAATATCTTTTGATACAAATTATCGCGACACCGAGGGGGGTAATTCTCGACGGCATTGAGACGATAACACTCGTGTATGCGCATTTGTGACGATTGCGCGATAATAATGACGAACATCGAGGGTGACGATGAGAGACAATCTTGCTGTTTCAATTGAATTTTTGTTTATTTTACACCGTGTGTGTGTGTGTGTGTGCAAAATGATTTATTTCATTTCCCAAAAGCAAAGAGTCAATATTTGAACCAAAGCGCGCGCGCGCGCGTGATGACGTCTCGAGCGCGCTGCAATTGAATATTATTTCAATGCAGCGTTTCGTGTTTGCCGTTTAATTATCTCTTTATAAAATCTGGTTAGATAACTTTTGCGATAAGAACGTGTTTTCGGAAAATCCCCAAACTTTACCAAATATCGTCTTCTCTTCTCGAAGAAGGTTCTCATTGGCTCTTATTTCTTTTTTTTTTTTCGTTTTTACAATTCTCTTTTGTCAAATTTGTATATTTTTGAGATTTACACGTTGTTCCAAATTTTTTATATCACTAGTTTTTAATTTTGCTTCGAATATTTTTAATTATTTCTTAAACAAAACTACAGTAAAATATTCAAGAGCTATATTGCGCAATTCAAACAGATACATCGAAATTTCGTAATTTCAGCAAATACAAAGAAAA